ACAGATTGAATTTTAGAGAATGATAAGCTATAGCCCCAGTCACCTAGAACTTGAAGCATATAAACCAGTAATGATTCAGTCACATAGTTAAGAGTTATTAATATACTAGTCCTGCTATGAGTGGTGACAATTTTTCTCTTGTAGTTTTGAGGCATTGTTGTTGATAATTGATCAATTTAATTAATTCTAATTGGTTGTAAGACCAATATGACCTGAGATTATATTTACCAAAACTAAATGAAGGTTATTATTTATTATCCAATCAAAGCTCATCTCCATTTAATACAAATAGGTGGCAAAGTTTCCCAATTTAGTATTTCAGAATAACTTCAGAAGTAATAAAAATTAGAAAGAAAAAAAAAAAAACACAGTCCTTAAATCAAAAAAAGTATTTTTTGGCATTTTTAAAGTAAAAACAATTAAAAAGTAAAGTTATTTAAAAGTTTATAAAAGGTGGCGAGATTTCTAAATTAACAAAATTACTCTTATTTTTCTTTACATATTCATTTACAAAATCTTTATTACTATTTCCAAATTACTTCTTTTTTTTATTTTATTTTATTATAAATTTTTATTCCGTTGGCTTAGTGGTTGAAAAAAAAAAGGAATCATTAAGACTCAGCTAACTAAAAACTTTATTGCTTACTATAGTTTCATATAAAGTCATTTAAAAAGTTGAGTTATCTTATCAAAAGTTATAATATTAGAATTACCTGAACAGCCATTAGAGTTAGGGTCAGCAATTCTGACATAACTGCCAACCTAGAAGTGTTTAAAGTTGATAAAAAATTGCTGACCTTGTTTCTATGTTTTATGGTAAAACCTTTGTATGAATTTTTTTTTAGCGACCTGATGCCGATCTCAAGCAGATTTTTCCAAATTGTAAGGGCTGCCTTTAGTGTTAGCTTTCTTAAATATGTTTATTTATTTCATGTTACAAAAAGTCTGTTTTTTTTTTAAAGTATTGAATTATTCGGTTTCGAAGTGATTCATTTTAAAGTCAATGGGCAGGTTTTTGTTTGAAGTTTTGTTTGAATTGGTAGTTAATAGCATAACACTAAATTAATTTTAAATTAAAGTTTATTTTTTTTGTCTTTTTCAAAACCAAAAAAGTTTTTGATTTTTACCTGGGGATAGAAGAGTATTTTAATTAATAAATATATTTTCAGTTAATGGCTGAAAGATATAGCAAACATGAAAATAAAATGCGAATGAAATGCATAAAGTTGATTACAAGATTGTTAAAAATTAAGTAAAATTGTTTTGCTAAATGTTCAACATAACAAAAGAGCCAGTTAATTTTTTCATAAAATAAATGGTAAGTGACAGTTTAACATGATTTACTTATATATGTTAGGTTTTTCATACCCTATATGCATACTTTCTTTAAGTATCAATTCTAATTGCATAAGTCAAAAACAAAATTGAAAAACACATTTTATTATAATTAGTGAAACAAACTTTTCTGAGATGCTTATAAATATAAGAGTTTTCAACCCTCCTATAATACTTGCATTGCAGTACTTAGCATTTAACTCAATTTATTTTAATTTTTGCTTATCCTACTTTTTACCACATTTCCTGGACTTAATTCAATGAGGCTGGGTTGTATTTTGACTGAATTAACCAAAAAACCTCTTTCCAATATGTTTGTTTGTACCAAATGTGTATATGCATTTGACAGCACTATCCCAATGCGTTTTTTTGTACTTCATTTCAAACTCTAAAAGTTTACTGTGGTAAAAAAAATTCTAGTTTTGGATCTGATGACTTACCTTGATTTTTTAAATCAAATAAAAGACATTGTTGATGAAAGGACTATTGTTGTTTTGCTCATTTTGCTGAAAAAATGTATTTTTAAAGACAAAATGTATATATATATATATATATATATATATATATATATATATATATATATATATATATATATATATATATATATATATATATATTTTGCAACCACTATATATATAATATTTTGCAACCACTCAATTCAGGTCTTTACTGTCATGTTAAAAATTTGTCAAGCAATTCTTCAACAACACTACAAAAACTACTGGTTTTGAAAAAACAGGTCTCTATCCATTATATAAAATGCAGTCGATAGAGAGAATTTTAAGCTTTCAGAGCCACCACTAGGGTGGTCCAAAAAACAACATTTTTGAAAAAAATCTGCTCCACAACCCTAAATGTGTTCTATATAATACAAAAACAGTAGGTTTACAATTTTTTTAATAAAAAATATATTTAGGGGTAGCCCATGACCCTTAAACATTTGACGGGTCCCTAATATTATGAAAAAAAAGTTCTTCTAAAAGATGTCAAACTGGTACTTAAAAGAAGCGAAATTATATTAAAAATTTAAAAATATTAATAATTTTTATATAATAATAATTTTTTCATACTTCATTGCATAAAAATTGTTGTTTTTAAGCTGAAAAAAGTCATAACTTTCAAAATTTTTGAAAATAGTTTTTTTAAACATCTATTTTATGTAAATTATTTAACATTTTTGAATTTTTAATTTCTTTTTTTGAGTACTAGGTTGACATGTTTTACTTTTTTTTTCAAAATATTAGGGACCCGTCAAATGTTTAAGGGTCAGGGGCTACCCCTGAAAATATTTTTTATTTAAAAAAACCTAGTGTTTTTGTATTATATAAAATACATTTAGGGTTGTGGAGCAGATTTTTTTCAAAAACGTTGTTTTTTGGACCACCTTAGCCACCACCAATACCACCAACAACAACAACATCAACATCTTCACTAATAGCACCCGCAACTTCATTAACATCTTCACAATTACCATCAACAGCAACTTAACTACTATTAGTTGTCACACCTTAATAATTTGGAGAAGAAATACTTGGTGAGTCAAGTAATTGAAGAGAATCTCAAAAGGTTCATGCAAATAAGAAATTAAAATCAAAGCCAAAAAGCGAGTTAAAGTTGTAATCATCACAGAATTGAAACTGATCAGTAAATCTACGCAAGAAGATTTTTGAAGTAAAGGCAGCAAAAAAATATTTAGAAGCAAAAAAGTAAGCCAAAAACCAAAACCAACTATTGAAGCAAAGAAGTGATGCTCGACAGTGAAAAAGTTGACCACAACAAAAAGAAAAATGCAGCAAAGCAAAGTGTCAAAAGTCATTCCATAGCAAGACAACTGATCAGCAATAAATTTGATTGCAATATGAAAAAAGCTCTAGCTGAAAATGGGTTTGTGAAAATGTCAACCCAAAAAAATTGTGCAGCAAAATTTAGAAAACAATAAGTTTTGAAGCAACCTCTTAAACATTATAGTTTGTAAACTAAAAAGTTGCTTTTTCAATTAGCATGATGATTTTAAAACTATTTTGAGTAACCTAAATTTTTTTTCCCACTTGTTTAGTATTGTTAGATTGCTTTTATTTAATTGATTGTAATTGTGCTCTTGAAATTTTTTTAAAATATTATTTTTTTAAAAAAAATTATGTTGTAAATAATTAATATGGCAAAATTCCCATATATTAGATTTTATTAAGGTAATTTTGCCATCCCATTTTTTCTGTTTCTATTAATAAAAAAATAAAATTTTAACTTGTGTAGTTGAAAAAAATAACAATAAAATAAAAATTTTCTATTTGCATTTTTGGTTCTTAAGCCATTTAAACTTAAAGAATTGGTGACAAAATTACCCTGTTTTACTCTATGAATAAACAAAATGAGCATATGAATATACTGGATTAGCTGAAGCACACAAAATCACCTATGATGTAAATTTTAAAAAGGGATTACTGACAATAAGAATAGCAAAATTGAGTGATTCAGTTTGATAAAATATATCTCTATCATATTTAGATTATTTCTGTTTCAACAGTTTAGGTTGAAACAGAAAAAATCTAATGATAGAGATATATTATATCAAAATACAATAATTTCTTTTTCAAAAATTTCTAATAAAAAATTATTAAATAAACATTATAAAGCTCTTGTAGATCTTGTATAAATATAAAGGATAATTATCTCCTTCATATGTAGGTAATCTCCGTCATGTGTAGATAGTGCATGTCTAATGTAAAGCCTACATTGTATTTGATGATAAAATACTAATCATTTTCGAAAAATTATTTTTACAATATTTATCACACCGGCCAAAAGTTGCTGTATTTTATTTTATTAACAACTTTATTTTACAACTAATAAACAACAATTTATAAAAACCATAACTATTAATTAGGGATGTACAGAAGCTTCGACTTCAGCCAAAGCCAGGGTCAGTTTTTGCCGAAGCATTGGTTTTGGTGTGTTTTTTTAGGTAAATAAAGGTAATAAGTTATTGTTATATTAAACATAAAATAGTTTTATTGTTTACAATATAATTACTATATTTCTACTACTTGTAATTTGCTCCTGTACTTTGATTCCTTGACATATGCCGCGTCATACATAGTACAAATTACGACATGCAGCATTATTATTTTGTTTGTTTTTTGTTTATCTGCTAATCAAAATTAGCAGATAAACAAAATGGGTGCTTTTTTATATATATTTTTTTTTAATTTTTATGTTTAATTATATTCCATTGTTGTACTAACTAAAACCTTTTTTCACTGTAACTTGTATTAAGTTTTTGCGATTGAAATGTTTGTGCAAAAAAATTATGTCTTATCAACACTCAAGTACATAAAAAATTAATGATTTTATAGATACAGAATCAGATAACCTACAGAAAATCAATGGCAACATGCTGAAATAATTGTATGCATACTAAAACACTTTGAAAGGACTGCGAAATATATTAGTTCAGACACATCAGAGACCATACCGTTTCTTGACTATGCTTGGGACAAAGCAACTGGAATCAAAACTATTGTTGATGAACTTAAATTTCAAAAGTCACTTTCATAAATACAAAGATAATGTTTGTCTGAAAATTGCAATGATGCTCGGACCCTGTTTCAAATTAAATTTTTTAAAGAAGCATACCATAGTATGATTAAGAAAATTCTATATCAAGTGTACAACTGCTTTCATTTAGAGTATCATTTACAACAAGCAAAAGAAGTTGACTTCGTTAAAGGCTCTCATCGTGATGGTCAAATTAAAAAATGAAAACACGTAAGCATTGCCATATAGAGCTTCTTAGACCAAATGGGTATAAATGAAAATGCTACACAGAAAAGTGAAAACACTGATGGAGGGGGAAAAAAGTATAATAGTAAAAATAGAAGATAAAAAAACTCAAGCTTTAAAAGGAAAATGGTACAAATAAAAAATGTTTTTTCTTTGCTGCATTCAGCACTTTTACTAGAAATTTAATTGTTTATTTGTACACAAGAACTGCCTGTAGGCAAAAATATATTACATATATATTATGGAAAGATTACTACAAGCAGCCACAAACTATGTACAGGCCATGTCTTCCAGTAGTTACTGGTCTGGTTGCACTTAATATTTAAAAAATGCACCACATAATTATTTATCAACTATAAATGTTTTTGTCTTTATTGTTTATAAGTTGAATAAGAGTATTATTTTTTCCTTACTTGATTAAAGATTCAAAATATTAGTCTGAACTTTAAATTGATTCATGCTTTTTTGTTTCAATATGAATGAAGTTAACTTTTACTTTAGCCTATCAACATTACCAAAAAATGGATGCCTTTATAAGTTGTAGGGTGCTTACAATTACACCTGCTTTAATAGACACTAACAAGTGGGATTTTGCAAGGTTCTCAATTAAAATTTTGTGCGCACTTTTTTATTTGTTAAAGGTGAACTTTAGTTGAGCACAACGAGATACATATTTGAAGCTAAATCAAACAGGCTGTTACCTCAGCATGGAGAACAGATTACGTTTTTGAATTATAATTTGCCATATTTCTAACAATAGAGAATAAATTTCAATGCAATAAACCAATAAGTATAATAAAAATAAAAAATTATTTCACTCATTTGTTAATGGTAATTACTAAATAGTAATTTTTTTATTCTTCATAATATTTGTAAAATAAGTAATCAACATTCATACTAAACATTGTTTATAATATAGTTCTAAAGTTTAGACTTGATTAAGTTGACAAAAAGCCAAATTAGTATTATAATTCACACGATAATTCAATTACTAATTTATAATTAGTAATTACTAATTAGCTAGTCATCTTTTTCCATATAATACTAAACTTGTTTGATCAAGACATAGCTACATCCTAAAATCCTATGACATTGCGTAATAAAAAAAAACTTTGGTGGTTTGTGGTTATAGTAAAATATCTTGTGCGTTAAAATACTTATAATTGCAGTACTTTGCAATATGCAGTATATATAATAACTACAGTAAATTGTTAAAAAATGTTTTTCAAAAATTAGTATTATTCCTAGATAGCTAGATCTGCAAGGTAGCAAATTTTACCTATGTAAATGCAAAAGCTTCAGCTCCAGCCGAAGCTTCGGTTTTGGCAGAGTGACTTAGGCCAAAGCTTCGACTTCAGCAAAACCTTAGCTTCGGAACATCCCTACTATTAATAACATTTGTACTAAAGTCTTAACCTTCTTATTTCAGTCTGAAATTATCAATTTCAGTCTGAAATTATCACACATTTGGTGATCACCACAGTATAAAACAAGATTATAATAATAACAGAAATAATAATAATATTATAATAATAACAATAATAATAATAACAATTTATAGTAACTTTAAAAAAAAATGTTTAAAACTTACCATTTCCTTCACCATAAGAAATTTCATTGTGGCCATCACCTCCAGTTCCAATTTCATCATCAGGACATCCAAGTGCACGATACTCCTCTATTAAAAAAAGCAATTAACATCAATATTTTTTTACACTAAGTTTTTTTTTAATGTATTGGTAACAAATCATTGTTAGGACTTTAATTTATTTAACTTTTATTATCAATGTTTATATAAACATATTTTAAACAACTTTTATAAAAGCATACTTTTTTTCAATGAGGTAAAAGCATAAAACTATAAATAAACAATTTTTCACTTTGATACATTAAATAAAAAAATAATTCATCTATTAGCAAGTTGTACTTGCTAATGGATGAATTATGGAAAGACATCATTTAACGATATTCCATTTGATTATTTGTTCATCAATAACAATCTTATGTGTTTAGATGCCTGGAAGAGTTCAGTCAGTATTCTTCTTTGGCACTTTGGAATCATTTTAACATAGTTTGAGTGCTTATTTAAGAGCTAATAAAAAATATATATACATAAACACTTTTTTTAATATATATATATATATATATATATATATATATATATATATATATATATATATATATATATATATATATATATATATATATATATATATATACATACATATATATATATATATATATACATATATATATATAAATATATATATATACATATATATATATATATGTATATACATATATATATATATATACATGTATATATATATATATATATATATATATTTATATATATATATATATATATATATATATATATATATATATATATATATATATATATATAAAACTTAGCCTATACATTTTGTCACTAATGTCCAATGACATGCGGGAATTGAGTGTACTTAATAAATATCAAGTACGCTTAATTTTCGGCATTTTTGTTGGACATAAGTATGTAAATTTTTCAATTTTTTACCTAGATCTATTTGTGACTGGTTCAGATTTCTTGCTACTGAACTGAAAATCTTTATACTGAAAGAAATCTTTCCATAAATAGATTTATGGAAAGATTTCTTTCTTCCAATTTAGGGTTTTCTTTCAATCCTTCCAGTGGTCTTAAACTTATTTATAATAATCTATAACTGTAGATTTTGGTATGTTGTAATTAAAAAAGCTTATGGTTTAGATGGAATTTTCCCCAAGACAAAATATTTTGAGTGGAAAATTTGCCTAGATGTTTCTCAACATTTTTTTAGCTTCTATCAACCAATATCATTTTATAATGTGAACCACAAATCACCAGTAACCATGTGAAAGAAAAATAGCTGTATTAGTTCAAATCAGAAAGGTTACCCAAATAGTTTTCAACCAATATCAATACAGCCAACATTATCAAAAAAAATTAAACATGCTGTTAATTCACAATTATCAAGATATTTAAAAAAAAATACTATTAAATAGCTCCCAATTTGGATTTCAAAACAACAAGTCAACAATACTAACAATCACTTTGTTTACTACTTTAAAACTTGTCTTTACTACTTTTAAACTTGTCTTTACTACTTCAATGAGAAAACTTGTCAACAAAGGAAAGTTAGTCTGTATTCATTGGTTTTGGAAATTAACAATTTAAATTTAAGATTAACAATTTACTTTTGGAAAAAATTTAACCAATGCAATTTATTCAAAATGCAATTTATGTTGAACATTGAACTGAATTAGATGTGTTAAAATTTTCAGGAAAACTTTTCATAACATGAGGAGTTACACAAGAAACTATTAATGACTTGAGCTAAATTTAGAATTTGGCTAAAAAAATAGTAAAACCTATAAAAAAAAATTATAAAAATTTGTATTCTACCTTTTTTAATGGTGTATCTTGTCACTTATTTGAAGTTAAGCATAAAAAAATTTATATAAACTTTTTGATAATGTTGGTAGTATTAATGTTGATTGAAAAAAGCATGTTACAGTTGTTTATAAAGCTGTTACCTTGCTAATGGCAACATATATTGGAATAATATATCTATCAGCTATGCAATTTGAACACCTAAACTTTGTTGAACACTTTTTTACTCATTTTTATTGCATAACTTATTTAGGTAAATGAAGTTAGTTCTGTAATATGTTCTTAAACTATAAAGACTCTTCAAATAATTCAGTTTTTTTGTTTTGTATTAAATGCTTGTAAAAGTAGATACAAAGCATTAACTTAAAGGTCACCTAAAGTAAAGTAAGGATATTGTAATAAATCTATCAGATAAACAATCAAAATAGGAAATTAATTATAAACTTTAACAACGCTTTGACTTTCTTTTAATTATAAAAATAGCAATGACAAAACCAATACTTTGACCTTTTATGTCAAAAAAATAATAATAAAAACATCATCATTTCCTCTTGCTTTTATAACATACAAATTAACAACAAAAAACAATTTATACCTTGTCCTTTAGAAGGACATATATTGCATAATCCAAATGCTCGTTCAGGATTTCCACAACAACATTCTTTTTTAGTTGTTTGATTAAATAACAAAGATGAGCATTGACCATTGTTAAATTTAGAGAAACACTGGTTAGGAGGGGTTTCTGTTTCATCAGCTAAAAAAAAAACATTTATAGTCATTTTATAATCATTAATTGGTAAAGAGTAGTATAAAACCATACAAGTAATATAAAAAAAAAGTAAGGACTGGGAAAGAAGTAATATACATATACTGAAAGGTAAGGGTTTAATATATATACAGTGGCGACAAAATAAATAGCACAGATCGATGTTTAATATGTAATAACATATTTTCCAGAGATTTGTGTTTTTTCGATCTAAACTTTTTTAGCCTAACAAAATATTAGTTTTAGAGGATAACATTACTGAGTAAAAAAATATACTAACTTAGTTAAAAAAGAAATTTGATCATATAAATGATTTAGAGGTACAGAATAAGGGGGCAATTTAAATAACACACCCTGTTAAAGAATTATCATTTTGTCTCTTTACTATAAAAATCATAGAAGTTCTTTGTATAAATAGTTAAGAAAAATTTGAAATAAATTTATATTTAGTGAGGTATCCTTTTAAGTCAATAACTGCTTGAAAAGGATGGCCCGTTGACAACATCAGTTTTTAGCATTGTTTAAGCATAATGGTGTCCCAAGCAGCTTTTTAATTTTTTTTTTTTTTTTTTTTTTTTTTTAACATCTTCACTTCCAACAAGGCTGCAAGCAACCACTATAAGAGTTGGAAGTTACTGGAAAAGAAAAGACTAAATCTGTAGAGCAAGATAACGATTGACTGATGACTTAAAAGATTGCAAATTATATGAATCAGGAAAGCAAGATGAAGGAAGCGAATTCCAAAGAACTGATGTTCGAGGAAAAAAACTAGAAGAATAAGAGTTTTTGAAGCACATAGGAACAGTCACAGAAAAAGGATGAGACTTAATTGAATGGCGAGTAACACGAGAATGAATTTTAGTAGATGGCACAAGGGACGCTAGCTCTTTAGAGCAGTGCCCATTATAGATTTGTAGAAAAGAGAAAGAGAAGCAACATTACGACGATGTGACAAAGGTTGGAGATTGGCTGCCAGAGCAGGTCCAACTATGTTTACAATTCGTTTTTGCACCTTGTCTAAAAGAGAAAGAGCATCATTAGAAGATCCACCCCAGATGTGGCAACAGTATTCCATACAGGGACGGATTTGAGATTTATAGAGATAGAGAATAGAATCTGGAGTAAGAAAGTGTCGAGCTCGATAAAGAGATGCAACCTTAGCAGATGCTAATTTTGCAATGGATTTGATATACGGTTTAAAAGAAAGATCAGAAGTAAGAGTTAATCCTAGAAGATGAATGGTAGATGACTCATCTAGTACATTACCATTCATAAATATAGGAAGATCTGAATTATTTCGATAACGATTGGCCGAATAAAATTGAGTTTTATCTGAATTAAAGTTCACCAGCCACTGTGAGCCCCATGCTGTAGCAGAAGTGAGATCCTTTTCAAGCTCAGATACCCCCTCCAAGCAATCAGAGAGTGTAGGCTTCTTATCACGACAAGAGTAAATGGTAGTGTCATCAGCGAATAATGCCACCTTAGATGTGAGAATATCTGGAAGATCGTTAATGTAAATTAAAAAGAGTATAGGGCCAAGAATTGAACCTTGAGGAACCCCTGAAGTTACAGGATGTGAAGAAGAGTGTTGTCCATCTAGGACAACTTTTATACTACGATTGGAAAGAAAGGACTCAATAATCTTAAAGACGTTACCAGCTACACCATAAGAAGAAAGCTTATGGAGAAGACCAGCATGCCAAACTTTATCAAAAGCTTTAGAAATGTCAAGTGCGATAGCTTTAACCTCTCCACCTCTATCTAATGCACGGTAAAACCTATCAGGTATTACTGTTAGCACATCAGCTGTAGAACGAGAAGACCGAAATCCATATTGATGATCAGAAAGTAAGTTATTTGATTCAAGATGAGAGATTAAGTGTTTGTTGATTAAAGATTCAAAAACCTTGCTTATGACAGGAAGAAGACTAATGGGACGGTAGTTAGATGAATCAGATCGCTCTCCGGGATTTTTGAAAATAGGGATAACAGATGCTGCTTTCCAGCATGATGGAAAACAAGACTCTGATAAGCACTTGTTAAATAGTTTAGAAAGTATGGATGAAAGCTCCGGAGAACACCTCTGCAAAACTACAACAGGAATGTTGTCAGGACCACAAGCTGTTGAAGAGTCTAAGCAGGAAATTACTTTAGATACAGAAGCTGAAGTGATGCGAATGTCAAGCAAGGGATCAACCTGTTTGACGGCTATGTCAGGTAAAACGCAACTAGTGGAATCAAGAGATGATATTGATGAAAAGTTCTTAGCAAACAATTCAGCTTTGTCTTTAGGTGAGGTGACAAAGTCTGAACCATACAAGAGAGAAGGAATAACAGATTTGCCCTTATTATTGATACTGTTAAAGATTCTCCAGAAGTCTCGAGAGCCTAATTTTTGTGATGAGATACGAGATTTAATGACCTGGGAATAGCGAGCTTTGGCGTCAGACAAAACCTTTTTACAATGGTTTCTGGCGATAGTGAACAGATGTCTGTTATCTGGAGAATTGTTTTGCTGATAGATATGGAAGTAACGGTTTCGATTAGAAATTGCTGCAGCGCAATGTGAGGAAAACCAAGGAGAAGAGTGAGGCTTGACCTGAAATCGTCGAGAGGGAATAAAAAATTCCATGCCAGCCTGAATCCACGAAGTTATGTAAGAAGCACATTTGTCAGCAGGAAGACGAAAGATTTCTACCCAAGGGCCATCACGAAGAAAATCACGGAAAGAGTCCCAGTCAGCTTTAAGGTAGTTGTATGTGGTACGATGATAGGGGGATTCTGATGAAGTAGAAGAATTTGATAATAGTTTTAGAGAGATCAAACCGTGATCAGAAGTACCTAAGGGTGAATGTGGAGAAATTGAGCACTGACTAGGATCCAAAACAAGACATAAGTCGAGTAGAGAAGGTAAATGATTAGGGTTGTCTGGAAAACGAGTTGGAAGGTTGACTATTTGAGTTAGAGATTGAGAAAGGCAAAAGTTGAGGGCCTTAACGCCAGCAGAGTCACTGACACTAGAGCCAAGCCAATCGGTGTGGTGGGCATTAAAGTCACCAACAACGACGATATTGGCCGATGGATAAAGAGAGAGGGCTTGGTCAATTTGATCAGAAATAACATCAAGAATAGTGCAATCTTGGGATGAAGGAGAGCGATATAGAACAAAGAGAAAGGCGATAGAGTGAAGTTGTGCTAAACGAAAGCACATAAATGAATAGTCTGTAGATTCAAACCTAGTTTCACGACAAATGGGTGAGTTCTTACGAATGTAGATTCCCAGGCCAAGCATGTGATTATTGGAGTCTTTACGAATTAAAGGAAGATAACCATCAACACTAAGATCACAAGATGGGACAGCCGAACTCAAATTAGTCTCACAAAGAGCAAGTAGGTCTGGTGAACTTTGCAAGAGATAAGACTCAACAGAAGAAAAGTTACTTCGAAGACCACGAATATTAGTAAATGATAGGTTTAGAGAACTTGGTGATGACGATGGTTTTTTGTGTTTTTTAGTTTTAGGTACTTTAGTCATTTTAAATTTATAAAGAACTTGACTCAAGTATAGATAGTACTCAGTACACTATTTAACAACTAAGCAATAGCCTCATTACTATTAATAAACCCTAAGCCGTAACAAAGGGCTCCAAATGTGGCCTCTGCAATGCACACCAAAAGTACAAACAGGGACACCATCCATGCGCAACATGGCACTGTTAGTACTCTGATATTTTTCGGCTGTTGATGGAATCAGCCTCTCTGAGAGCTACCACAGAGTTCGGGAAACCTGACTACCAGCCGGCCTCAGAACCATAAAACTGAGTTTTAGAGCTGTACCCTCATTAGCCCTTAAACCATTAAGACCGTCTACAGACGGTCATCACTAAATGTAATGCTATTCAAATTAAATAAAAAATCGATTTTAACCACTAAGGCCATTTTTAGTCTGTAAAATTTCCTACAAATGACAACAAGTTTGAACACGTTCTGGCGCGTAGTTTGATTATTTTGGTTATTCTTGTTGAGAATTTCTAGTAAACAGCCGTCAAAATTATTTGTGATTGCAGTACAAATTCAAATTATAAAAATAATATATTCAAACAGCTCAATTGACTTGAGATTTTTTGTGGTAAGTTGTTCAACCTTATATTTTAATAATATGTTTTTTGTTTGATAAATAAAAAGTTTTTTTTTATTTAAAACGAGTACTTTATGAACACCTTCTACAGACGGTGTTAATGGTTTGACTATAAAAATTTCCTCTTATTTTACCTACATATATTTATATTTTATTTTAATTTTTTTTGTACTTTTTTTCCATTTTTTTGATTTTAGAAAATGCCACAACAAAATAATGGAAAGAAAAAGTTTAATCTCTCTGCAATGAGTGATGAAGAAATTGTAAATTTTATGAACTCAGCTGAAACTGATGATGAATGTGAAGATTTTGACCTCAGTTTTGAAGATCCAGATTATCATTGTGATGAGCTTCAACCTGAACCTAATACAACAATAAACAGTAATTTCCAACTACTGGATTTTGACAACAGATTCAAAGATCCAGATTATCAGTGTGATGAGCTTCAACCTGAACATAGTACCATTATAAATAGCTGTTTGCAACTAATGGATTCCTCATCACTTACAAAGGCACTTCATTTTTCAATGAATGTTAGCAATTTTAATTTGAGTGAAATTGATGAACCAAAACAAACTGTAACTTTAAACAAAGATATAAGTATAACACTGCAAAATGAAGATGCTAATCCAGCACTTCACGAACTACAAACAAAAGCTACTATGTCAACACCACAGAGTGAAGTTGCGATAAAAAAGTCATTCAAACCAAAGAAAAGAGCTCGATCACCATTACCATGTGTAGAGGTTTCAGGACCACCTGTAACACCATCAGCTGGTGGGTTTACAGGAGCTAGCTTGGTAGATATTCACAAAAACTCAGATGAGTTCAAACAAATCGTTTGGCGTAAAAAGTGTATGCAATTACACGTCAATGAAGTAGCATTTAGAGGAAGTACAGACCTACCACCTGTACTAAAAAAACTGCAATCACCATTGGATTTTTTTAACTATTTTTTTACAGACGATCTGGTAGAATTGATTAGTTTGGAAACGCATCGAGCTGCAATTACAAAAAACTTGAACACAAAGTTCAAAATTGACAAATATGGGATTCGTCGATACATTGGAGTTTTGATTTTTATGTCAGTTTACCGTTACCCAAACATTGAAGATTATTGGAGTGAATTCGGATTTCGACACATACCAGAGAGTATGCCAAAAAACAGATTTGAGCAGATAAAAAAATATTTATCGTTCAACGATGAATCAAAACGAGTCAAAAAAGGTGATATAGGATATGACCCAATTTTTCGGATCAGAAAAGTTGCAACACATTTGCTTGAGCGCTTTGATTCAATTCCAAAAAATGCTCGATTATCAATTGACGAACAAATGTGTTCCATAAAAATGGTTCACCATTTACGGCAGTATTTACCTGACAAACCTCATAAGTGGGGCGTAAAGCTCTTTGTTTTGTGTGACAGCAATGGATACTCATACCGTTTTGAAATATATACCGCAGCCAAAAATGATGACATAGTTCTGCCTTTTACTCCAAACATTGGAGCAACAGGGAATGTTGTTATTAGGTTGTCGCAAACAATACCAAATTTTGTTAATCATA